TGAAAAAAAATTATTTGTAATCAGATGAAATCATGTAATCTGTGGGACAATATTTCAGCTAGTGGTTACCCCCTTGGTCAAGTGACCAAAAAGTGACCATAGGTTTTATTCGACGTCATTTCGTGACGTCAGTATGATGTCATTTCGTGACGGCATACTGACGTCATTTTCGTAACGTCATTCCGTGACGTCATATTGACGTCATAAGTCGCCTGTTGGGGTAGCATAATGGTCAATAAAAGACCAAGATATAACGTCAAAGTGACGGCTCACCGATGACGTCAATCGTTTGTGACATTCGAACGTCAATTTGATTTCATTAAGACGTCAGTAATGATCAGTAAAGATCTAAAATATGACGTCAAAATGACAAACTTTGCTACTTGGGATATGTATTATATATATATGTGTATATTTGAAATACAAAATGCAAAATACTTTTAAAATTTGTATTTTAAATACAAAATATTATTTTAAAATATAAAATATTTCTAAAATTTGTATTTCAAATACAAAATACTTTTTTCCATACAAAATACAAAATATTTCCAATTTTTTTATTGTAAATACACAAAATAAGACTGGAACAAAGTAACTGATTTGTTTCAGTTATTTCTCAAAAATATCCCGACACATTATGTGCCTTATCATAAAAAATTAATAAAGTTGTTTGATAAATGATAATATAAATAATGAAATCGAATTCATCGCTATAAAAATATTGTGATAGCATCGAAACTGTGAAGAAAACTTATACGATACTGATTATTAAACAGAGTAATAAGCAAATATAATTAAACATTACAGTAAAATATATAATTATAATATAGTATAATCCTTCGAAACAAAAGTTGGCAGGAAACATTGAGAACATAACATAATAATTGAACAAAAAACAACAATGTCACTTCACACTTGCCACAAACAGTTTGCGATACACCGGAATACACAATTTCTGATAGGTTGAAATCATATTATTCTTCGCTATGGCTATTTCCTTGCATTGTGTTTTCACTCTCTTGTACTCTTTAAAAGTTCTATTGTTTTATGCTACCAATCGCATGAGGATCTCACGAGAAATTTATTTTTTTGTGCGAGATTATAAGATTTGATAACACTGATGACTTGACACTGCTTGAAAGTTAACGAAAATAATCAGTATCGCCGTAATATGAAAAAAAAAATTTAAGTTACTATTATTATTATCAAGGATCATTATCAAGGATTTTTTTGATATTTCAAACACAAAATGCATTAAAATTATATTTGAAATACAAAATATAAAATCCATTTTGTATTGTATTTGAAATACAGTATTTAAAATAGTATTTGTATTTCAAATACTGTATTTCAAATACAAATATTTGAAGAGTTCCCAGCCCTGTATATATGTATATATACCTACATATTAGAGAAAATGACTACTGGTATTTTACCCCAACAAAAGTAGTGGCATATTGCCCCAAGACGTCATTTCATCTTATGATGAGTACAGTACGACTGTTTAGAAAATAAATCAACGATTTACTGAATATTTTCATTTTAACCTACTCTAATACATTACAAAGCTAATCGAGCTAAATATTGTGTAATGTTTAAATAATAACTTACATAAAGCACTATAAAAGTTATAAGAAGCACATTTTCGTATACCATGCCGTCATGTTTACCTCATAAAAATAATACTGTTGCGAAGAAATTCTTGATACTTATTCAACACGTTAAGCACACAATTGTACATAATTCTGTGTCATTAACGCAAGCGCTGCTAATCGATATAAAAAATAAATTTAGGACTTCAAAATAAATAAAATTGTTTTGTGTAAATTTGCTGTCAAACGTATCGTTTAAGAAATCAAAATGTGATTGTTGAATGTTCTGTTTAAAATAATAGCTTTCAGCGTTGAGAAGAGTATTGCATCTATTAATAAGAGAACGATCGATTGACGGACTGATATTGTGCATAATTTTTTCGCATACTTGTATTATCCCTCGTGATTAAAAGTCAATAATAGGCACTTCATACACTTTTTGCTTCAGAGCAAACAAAATTAAGATATATATTTCGACATTATTTATTATCTCTTAAATAAAACATTTGAGACTAAATTTCCAGAGGAAAATTTTGTTTGTTTTCAGATCCTATATTTTAAGTTTGACGGTTTAAACTGAGAACAGCCTGCATATTAAAAAAAAACAATAATAAAACAATAATAAATATCTATATAAAAATTTATTTGGATTCACTTACTCGGTTAAAAGTTAAAAGTTAAAAGACTTATAATGGTTTTTATTAACTTAAAACTGCAGCAAATAACAAAACTGCACCAATTATTATAATTTAAATTATTTGTTTTGTCTTTTTATAATTAATTTAAAGACGTATTCGCGGACTAAAAGTATCATAATTTTTTAAATGATATTGTCTGATATTAGTTTTTTCTGACTAATTGTTTAACTCATATTGTTAGAAATAGCCAAAACGTCGATCCTTAAGTGAATGATATAACTATCAATTACACAATATATACACATTTTATTAAATTATTAATAAAAATCTTAATTGTCAATAGATACCGATAATAAAGCGAGCTCAAAAAATAAAGAAAGGGGAAATTAAGTTGTTGACTGCACCGTGGAGTGCCAATCCTTGGATGAAAACTAAGAAATCTTGGACGATTGATACTAAATTACGTCCAGAATATCGACAACTATGGGCAAATTATTTCGTAAAGTAACTACCATTAAAATATTTTTATTAAGTCATATTCTCCTTATTCTTTCATAATAATTAATATTCTGATTTACTGCTACACTGCACGATTCATTTTCATATATATGAAACAACGTTACAGAGAGTTACGTAAAATTTCCTGAAATATTTGTGTGTGTGTGTGTGTGTGTGTGTGTGTGTGTGTGTGTGTGTGTGTGTGTGTGTGTGTGTGTGTGTGTGTGTGAAACGTATTATTTTATAAATAATTTAATACTTTTATAGATTTTTCGAGGCTTATCGTCATAGTGGTTTAGAATTCTGGGCTACAACGCCTCAGAATGAGCCAGAAAATTACAAGTATATTCCGATAACTAATGACAATATGTCTATCAACGCAATGGCATGGACAGCCGAGGAAGAACGTGACTGGATTATCAATAACTTGGCGCCAACCTTAAAGAAAAATAATTTCGGACATATCAAGATCTTCATAATGGATGATACCAGATTATCGGTTCCTGATTGGCCAAAAACAGTATTTGAAGATAAAAGAGCAAGAAATATTGTTTCTGGAACCGCGGTCCATTTTTATTTTGATCATTTTATCAGTCCGAGTGTCTTGGATGAAATAAAAGAGCTGTTTCCAGAGCAGTTAATATTATACACAGAAGCTTGCGCTGGAGTTTTCGAAGGTTAGTAAAGATTTGTGCATTCAATTTTATATTAACTATTTTTGCTTCTCTGATGAAACTATAGTAATTTCGACAACGAAACTAAACACAACATTTCTCAATTATTTATATTTTTTGTTTTATATTTTTCAATTGTTTTATATTTTTTGATCATAATACAGGACTCAAGGCAAGTTGTTAAAACTAAACTAAGCTATCATTTTTATATGCACGTAGAAAATAGGAAAACTATTTTTTAATTTAAAAAATAGGAAAATATTTTTTAACAGAAGACATTGTCAGTTTTACATGTAAAGTAAAACCGATCGAACATACTTGTGTCATTTAACAAATGTTTATAAAAATGCCAAATATTGCTAATCGTAATAATATATATTTCGGAAATTTAACATCTCTCTTGATAAAAGAAATGTTATTAGGTGTACAACTTTGCTTCTGCCGTTTTCTTATAGATGGCTTTAGCGGTAAGTGGTGATCGAAATAAATGGATCATAGACGTCATACAATAAACTTGGGCATCTGTCAACATAACCCCATAGAAACATTAGTCGATTTGTGTCTGCATCATAAAGTTATTCTCGA